AATGCCGATGGAATAGCGAGGTACGATTCGCGGAGAGTGCGTTGATGGACGCAAAACGCCGCCGAATCCAAGGGGATGGCAAGAAGACCCCGAGGTGGGACGCCAGCGACGAAGCGAAACGCGCGAAAACTACAAAGGACGTTTAGAACGAAGGGAATCGCGAAATTACGGAAGTTACGAAGAACGCTATAACACGCAGAAGGGTGTTCGTTATAACAAACGATATGATGCGCGACGTGATGCGCGAGACGAGGCACATTATAGCGAGCCAGACGATGCGCGTTTTGAACTGCGACGTGACGTGAAGTACGATACGCGATATGATTCGCGGTGCAACGAGCACGACGAACGACGAGAGGATACTTTATACGAACAATGAGTTAATACGCGTCGAAAGCGGCGAAACGAGTTTTCGGACGATTTCGACACGTATGAGGATGAACGAGGTGGTGACGTCTGACAGGAGTTACACCGAATGAAGGTACAATTAGAGAACAATAGACCAAGCTCAATCGATTGGATGAAACGTACCAAGCGGCGTTACGTGGTGGACAACGTGTGAATGAGGTTCTGGAAGAGATAAATGATTGGAAGACCAATCGACACGAAACAGAATATGAACGAAGTTCGCCACGACGTAACGGAATACGAGGTGGACAACGACCGCACAACGATTACGAGTCGGATGATTACGATCTTTGGAGATGATCCAAACGACGAAACGAGGATGTTCCGCTGTATCATATTATTCCCGACTTAAGCCAAAATATTGGAATGTTTACAGGAGACGGACGAGGCGTTAGAGCACGTGAATGGATCGAAATTATTGAAGGGATGCGTAGACTCCACAAATGGCCGCCGAATTTTGCGAGAGAAGCAGCGCGGATGAACCTCAGGGGAGCTGCCAACGATTGGTATCGGGCACGTTCGCACGAAATGACGACTTGGTGGGAATTTCGAGACGCTTTTCGAGGAACCTTCATAGTAGCTGAGAGTACAACGGATAGATGGTCAAAAATGTGTGAGCGGACACAACGACGCGACAAAACACTAAGCGCTTACTTCCACGCGAAATTGAAAATGTTTCTCGACCTCAATTTGGATTTTTGTGATACGAAAGAGCAGATGCTCGAAGGCTTGAGCTCTAAGAAATTATGCCTCTCGGTCATGCCTCGTCAGCATCACACGTACGACGCGTTGTTGCATGATTTGACCGAAACAATGAAACCAAGGAAGAACGAGAAGAATTCGTAAGAATTCGTAATAAATACGGTCACCTCTCGCGTGATTGCCCCGAACCAAAACAGGAATTACGGTGTCGATTATGTCACAAAGTCGGACACACACAGAAGCACTGCAGGGAGAGCGGAGCTCCAATCAAGGCCCAAATAAATTTAATCGATGACAACAACAACAACACGGTGAGCAAATATGTGAAAACTGTAACGTTCGACGAAAAAACATTACGAGCCTTAATTGACGCTGGATCCTCAGACTGCACTGTGAAACCATCCACTGTATTGAAGGAACGTTTTGAAGTGATTTATGTGCCTTCAGAACTCAAGGGATTCGGACCTGCACACTATAGGGTCTCGTCACCAGGCGTGGTTAAAGTCGACATCACTGTCGACGGCGTAATGGTTCGAGACGTTGTGGTACGTGTGGTATCAGACGATACACAGATGCTAGATGCAATCATCGGACGGACGTTTACCGAAAGACCATAGATCAATTACACGAAAACAGGAAAGGACCTAGTCTTTTCCACGAACGAAATCGCGAAAACAGTGAGAATGACGTCATACGCAGCGAAACGGAAGTGCAACTATCCCCCGCATCGGTGGAAGTCATCGACGTAGCAACGAAATTGAGTAGACACGAGCTGATGGTGATGAACATTGGCGACACGCAACGAACACTTACGAAAGGTTAAATCGTAAAGCACGGGAAGATGGAACCAATGCTGATAGTCGCACGAAACAGACCGCTAAATCCGATCACGGCAGAAAATCTCACGATAGGAAGCGGACAACCAGCGTGGGTAGTTAACGAATTGGTTTAACTTTTGAACGAGTACCGCCACTGTAGATTGGCGAAGTACGAATTATGAAAATGGACATTGTGGAGGTTCCAGGGAGTCGACCAGTGTTCGCTAAGCCCTACAGTGCCAGTGAGTGCGTACGAGAGGTAATGCGTCGGATCATACGATAATGGAGGGAGGCGGGCATAGTAAGAGACACGGAGTCTCCATACACAAGCCCCGTACTTTTGGTAACAAGAAAAATGGGAAGTCTCGACTAGTGGCGGATTTCCGCAGGTTGAACGCGCAGACAGAGAGGGTGCATTTTCCATTGCCTAACCTGGACGACCACTTAGCACAAATACGGGACAGTCAACTGTTCGTGACGCTAGATTTGGCGCACGGGTCTACTACGCAATAAAGTGGTTATGTATTACGTAGACGACATATTCATACCAGAGAAGGATTGGAACGATCTCTGACAACGATTGCAACTAGTGCTCTCCGCATTGCGCAAGGCGGGACTAACCTTGAACTTAGAGAAATGTAAGTTCCTTCGGTAATACGTCAGTTATCTGGGCTTCGAGATCGGCGGCGACGGGATCAAACCGGGCGAGGCGAAGATACGAGCTATTCTGTAGTACCCAAGCCCGAAGAATGTACACGAAATGAGCAGATTTTTGGGAATGGTAAGTTTCTTCCGACGCTTTATCCCAAAATTCGCCCACATTGCGGAGCCGCTGCATGCTCTACTGAAGAAAGGAGGAACATTTACATGGGACGACACGGAACGGAACGCATTCGATGGGCTGAAACGAAAATTGGCATCTGATCCGATCTTGCAACCTTTCCATCCAGCGCGGGAGACAGAAGTACACACTGATGCAAGTGCTGTGGACTTGGGCGCGCTTCTGTTGCAGAAGGACGAGAAAGGGGGACTGCGTATAGTGTACGCAATCAGCAGGAGGACAAGCGCTATGGAACGGAACTATCATTCCAGCAAACTGGAACTATTAGCTATCATTTGGGTCGTGATGCGACTTCGACCGTAGTCGATCGTATCCTGGGGATGTGTTTTACCTCCCAGAAGTTCGAAGACTGGTGTGGTTTACACGGCATCACACACACACTCAATTCACCTCGTCACCCTCAAGCAAACGGGCTAGTTGAACGGATGAACTTCACACTTATACCAATGTTGCAAGCGAGCTTGAAGGACGACGAGTGACGCGATTGGGATACGAGATTGATTGAGGTACAACGAAACCTCAACGACGCTCCGAACGCATCAACGGGTGAAAGTCCATTTGAACTGGTGCACGGGTACGCAGCCAGCCGCCAGGAAGGAGTACTTCGATAACTCGCTGATGAGCACGATAGTTATACGTCACCAGCGGAGCTGCAAAACCAAGGAAGAGAACGAATCAGCGAAGATCAAAGAAAAATGAAACGACGGTACGACGTAAATCGAAACAAGCATGTAACGTATGGAGTAGGAGGCATAGTATTCGTACGAGTGGATCACATCGGAACGGGCGAATCGACCAAACTCCAGGCATGGTACCGGGAGCCCCTCACAATTACACAAGTATTACCAGGGGATACGTATCCAGTCATAGCGTTACGTACAGTAAATGGACGACAATATGCTGCAACAGCTTATGTGAATCAACTAAAGTATTGGAAGCCACACAGTGATGACATTAAAAACAACGACGATTCCGGCGACGACTCAAGCGCAGAACCTGAAAAAGAAAAAGCAGATCCTGAAAAAGAAAAACCAGAACCTGGAAAAGGAAAAGATGAATCTAAAAAGGAAAAGGGCGAAGTACCTGAAGGAAGCGAGAAGGACGATTCCGAAAACAAGATGGGAGACACCATCGACGACGACAAGGAAGAGTACGAACTTATTCGACAGTCAACACGTGGTCATAGACCACCACGACATCTTCAGGACTACGTAATGACAGAAGTGCTCGAGGACGAGTACTAGGACGGATGGCCGAGTGTTAACTGCATGCAAATTTGGTTTCAATCGCGCGGGTTGCACATCGCGCCTGCATGAGCTGAAGACGGTGGTATGCGGCGATGCCGGCGCGAATCATGAGGTGCGCATGCGCGTACGGAGGATGAAGAAAGAGAAGGACGGATAGAGAGAGAGAGAGAAAGAGAATGACGTCGTTTTGGGTGACGAGAACGTTGAGCGGGAAGCACGAGGCCGTGAGAAAGATTAAAGAAGACGTATTATGAAGAAATAACAGTTTTGTGCGAGCTAGTTACGATTAAAAAGACTGACGATAGTACGGCCCCGACCAATTGGTGCTATTGTATAAAATTAGCATTAATAAAACATCTATTATCTTGTGCGTGTAATATTACGACTTTGTGGTTTTCTGTTGCGAGCATACCGCCCATGCCGTTTAATATCCTCCTGACAATTGATAATAAATAGATATAACATTCTATACAAAAAAAGTGGAATTCGAAATCTGGTTTTAATCTTTGAGTCACATCGTTTTCCAGGCATTCGCATGTTCACCTAACAATTTGTACTTCTTCGTTTCAATCATCAACATTTCACAGGGACATAGGAAGGATTCATACATTTTTTTATATTTGGATGTTACATCAAACATGTTTTAAACTCTTGTTACTCGTGTGTTATATACATATATAACTGTGCCGTTATGTATTACCTACATATGCGGAAATTCGATGTTTTGTAACAACAGAATAACCGCAATACTACGATTGTTATATGTAATTGCTACTACCATGTTATAAAGTAATAATATAAAATTTCTATACTCAGATAATATACAAACGAAACATAATAATTATATATTACCGCTATTGTAACGTTACAAGAACATTATTCTTAACACATTACATTGCGGCAACAATATGTGTTTGCTGAGATGCGAATGGTTCATATGCCTCCCTTCCATCTTTGGAATCACTTCTTTTGCTCCCAACATAAACACTTTGCAATCTATTCCGGCTCTTCCTACATCCGCAAGTGAGAGGTGAAATACGTGTGTTTTATATCCATTAATATAATAAACTACAAGTATACATTCAATATATTTCATTCTCATTCGACTCAAGTAGAACCATGCCATTGTAGGCTCCAACACTAGCCTTACTTTTAGCGCTCTAGCATAGCCTGTCTCTATCGTTTTCTAGTCTATGCATGTGATTGCCGGTCGTGAAGTATATGACAGATACGGTGAACAAGAGGGAAGAGTAAGGTACAAAGTTCTGCGGAGTATGATTACGGTGCGCGAGTGCATGCCACTTCAATATCAATTTCTTCAATATGGCAACGGTCGAAGACGATTCTTTTCAGAACCTTAAATCGCATTCTATGCATCCAGCCGAGAAGCTTGAATGGGTTCCGTTATCTCTCACATTAGTGGAGTATCCTCATGGTGAGTCCGAAATAAGTATTTAAAATTAAATGCAGAATACAAACGGTTTCTGTTCAAACGTCTATCACTTGATGTTATAAATTAAACCGTAATTTCATATTCAGATTCACATAATTTTCATAAATAATCCACAAAGATTTAAGAATTTTCAATCGTTCTATATCAACATTTACATTGTTTGTGATTCAGAACTTGCAGGCTAATATGTCAATGTGATTAATCTAGTTGCACGATTCATAGATGGATAAAAATATACTGAACATGGTAAACATGTATAGTTTTTAATTTGTTATTTATTTATCTACACTTATTATGTTATGTTTATTCTAAATATTTTATGCTCAACGCATTAACTCGCAAGATTTGGAAGAACATTTATCAATTAGTGAAACAGTAGTTATAATATAGGGTTATCTGGTGTTATTCAGGTATATCACACTAATTAATATCATCCATCATCTATTATTTGCTATGGTGTAATCAATTTTTGTCAGTGCAATAACTCTGAGTATGTAACCACAATAATAATAACCGTTATAACCCAAGCAAGTTTCAAACATTCTAACATTCAAATAACATTATATCTAATAAACAACATCGCTAAGATATTACTAATTTACAACACCAAATACATGATGTCACATGACATCTGATGAATTTTGCATATTCAATATCAGTATTTCTTCAAGAAGATTTATATTTTTTATTTTTTCAGTGATTTCTAATATATTTAAAAAGTAATATTATGCAAAATGTGAACTTTATGAAAGAATAAGTGGTAAAACTATAGAATACAACTCTTTCTTCAAGAGCTTTATGTAAAAAAAAAACTAAATAATTCACAGTTAAGTTCAAGAAGAAGTCCCAATTTAGCCCAATAAGCAACAGCAAGGAGTGGCATTTGCTGATATTCAAGATGACCAAGCATTTGCCATCTACCTTGTATAGACATTGGGCTAAGTCCATAATTGTAAGTCACAAATAGAAAAACTGTTATTTCGAAGATAGTTTTCTTTTAATACGTGTTGTGCTCTGCCAAATATTTACACAGAATGGATTTCAAACGATCTACATTCAGTTATCTTGCTTGCTGCTTATTGTATTATAAAGTTCACGTTTCGCATAATATGATTTTCTAAATATATTCAAAAAATAACAAGTAGAAATGTTCATAAAGAAACATTGTTAAGATATCACCATTTAGTTATGGATTAAATAACATTCATCTGATATCATGTACCGCTATGTATTTGATGTTGTAAATTAGATATCCGTGCAATGTAATAGCAGTCTTTTTTACTAGATATAACCTTATTTGAACGTTTGCAACTGCTCCTAGATATTTCATATATGTTTATTGCTAATTGTGTACTGTCTATAAAAAAAATAACTGCATATGCCCAAAATAAATATTTTATCCAATATGCAAATCCAATATTATGGAATGCAATACAAAGAATGATCAGATTAGTATGTAAATTAGTTTGAATTTGGAATTTTCAATGCTGATTTTAAACATATTTGAACTCAGTGGCCTAAATACTTTTTAAGAATTTATATTGACTTGCTTACTGCTAGATGAAAAAATCATGGAATGCACTTTTGGTAAGAAAAAAAGAATCTCTTGGAGGTTATAAATCAATACAATCCTTGCGCGCTATACGAAATATTTTTAAAGGAGAAATATTTTATTAGCCTTTCTCAAACTGCATACAAGACATTTCATGCTTATATAAGCTATATTATTACATTCATGAATCATTTTATTACTACAAATCAGACACGAAAAAAGTAATTTTAAACATTTTTAAATTTACTTTGATTATAAACTTAAGGGGGATTGGAACAGCTTTTTCTATGTATGATTTTTGTCGGCAAAAATGTCATGAAAAACTTCTTTGAAGTTCGCCATTATATAAATTAATAAAAAATATAGTTTTAGTTGACCGTGGAAGAATTCTAGAGTTTCTGATAATTTTTAGAAATACTTTTGTCGATCAAATTGAGATAACGTCAATTTTTTTGAAAATGTTGAGTAGTTGAGCTGTTACGTCCTATGCGTGAGCGATCGTTTGCGGGAGCTTGTATAGGTGTTGTGATCAAAGAACACGTAAAAGATATTGGGTTCTTGCCACTTTAAGGTGCTAAAGCACGTCTATTTGCATTTATGTTCCTTGGTCAATAACTAAGGTGAGGATCACAATCAACGATAGATGTATTAAACTAACAGATTCTTTTCTTCTACATGAGGGGTGATTGCTAATGATAAATAAAGAAGTTATTTGGACTTGGGATTTAATAGTGATGGTTTATGTTTCGAAATCATGAAAAGAAAATATAGTTTAACATAGCATAATAAAACAATTGATTTGAAATACAATTCAAATGAGACAGTCTGATGCAAAATAGATTATGTGAATCTACTAACAATGTGAAATTGAACAATGTATGTGTGATCATGAGATTGTTGGTTCGGTTTACGTATAGTACATGTGAAGTATTAAGTGGTGTGAGTTACTTACCGGTGGGTGAGCAGAAAGAGAAAGAGTGAGGAAGAGACTCAAGAAGTGCTCGACGATAGTAAGGTTGAATTTATTGAAGGGATATTCTTTGTCTAACCCTAAGGTGGACACTAGCAGTAGACGAATACTTTGAATGAAACGCCAAGAATTGAGATCTTTTCGCGTGGACTCTCGGCACTGAGGTGATACACTTTTCGCTCGGCCCTAAGGTCGAAATAAGCCCTAAGGTATTTGGTCGACACAACACTTGACTGACGCGGACAATCGGCTCAAGACTTCAGAAGGGATCAAGAGACTCGGTCGAGTCTCGCGCCAAGTACAGACAACCTGCCGTACGGGGCACGGCCCGCTGAGACTCTTTACTCGAAGCATCTCTTGTACCTGTGTTTCGACTCCAATATCTTATGAACGGCTATATATGTGAGAAAAATTTATTGATACATTCACTGTAGGAATCAACGATTCTGAATTGATTGCCACCAAATTCAATACGATTAGTATACAGGATCAAGACGTATTCACATGGTGAGCGAGATGATTTTATTTCAGGTCCGTCGTCGTCGTCGTCGTCGTCATCGTCGTCGTCGTCGTCGTCGTCGTCGTCTTCGCACGTCCATCGCATTTTTTACACAACAGATGGCGCTGACTAGGATCAAGACGTATTCACATGGTGAGCGAGATGATTTTATTTCAGGTCCGTCGTCGTCGTCGTCGTCGTCATCGTCGTCGTCGTCGTCGTCGTCGTCGTCTTCGCACGTCTATCGCATTTTTTACACGACAGATGGCGCTGACTGCTTTGCCTTCTTAACTTATTTGTACTCTGTATGGTGTTGGTAATTTACGAATACACAACACAATCAAATACACTTTATACGTGAAGCTACCGTTCATACCGAATTTCCAGTTAGTATAAGGGTGATTTCACAACAGTATAGAATTATTAAGTTTTTAATAGCATTCATGTGGAGCGCGCGTGTATGGGTGTATGTATATGTGTGCTCCGGCATAGTTCCTCGTATTTTAGGTGACAGTTTTTAGAGATACAGGATGTCCAGGTGTTCCTCTCCGTAGTTTCCTGTATCTAGGTGGCGGACGTGGAAGTCCAGGGTGTCCAGATGTTCTGCTCCGTAGTTTCTTGTATCTAGGTACTGGATGTGGAAGTCCAGGGTGTCCAGGTATTCCACTCCGTAGTTTCCTGCATCTAGGTGTCAGACGTGGAAGTTCAGGGTGTTCAGGTGTTCCGCTCCGTAGTTTCTTGTATCTAGGTACTGGATGTGGAAGTCCAGGGTGTCCAGGTATTCTGCTCCGTAGTTTCATGTGTCTAGGTGTTGGATGTGGAAGTCCAGGGTGTCCAGGTATTCCGCTTCGTAGTTTTCTGTATCTAGGTGTCGGATGTGGAAGTTGAGGGTGTCCAGGTGTTCCGCTCAGTAGTTTCTTATATCTAGGTGTCGGACGTAGAAGTTCAGAAAAGTGTGCAACGAGCTTTGGCGGTTTGCTCAAACTATAGTATCCTCTTTGATGTTCGCACGGCCTGAGGTACGTAAATAATCCAGCACACTCTCCTCTCTTATGTTTACCACACGGCTTCAAGAAGCTGGACACCATTAACGACGTTTATATGCATTGAAGATTACATTTTCTTTAAAAATTTGTATATGTTTTTATGCATTTCTAGAAAAAGGGACTTACAAATTAAAATTTATATCCCATTGAACATTTTCGACAACGCAATAGATTTTTCTGATTAGCAACATCATAATGCATTTACATTTTATATCTGTGACAATATAGATTTTAGTGCTTAGAGCTTCTATGTCCCGTTGAGCAATAAAAACTTGTGATATCCAAAATTGTGATGTCAAAAAACACTTACGTGTAAAAAACTACGCCAAGTACAGGAGTGCTGTGTATTCCTCTAATAAAAAGTATTAATATCAGATTATTGAGGCCAAGTACATAAGGGACTACATATATGTTTGCCTATTATATGATCTAGCACTGGCCCATAATTTTAATTTTATTTTCAAAATTTACTGTAACGTTGTCATTACTCTTTTACATTACTACTGCTTCTCGTAGTTGATTATGATTTCATGGTTATTTAATAATTAATAAAACTTTAGCTGATTCCTTATCGAGTACTACTTGCGGGTCCGTGCCAGGAATACCACAATACTTACTTTGAACGTACTAATAGTATTCTAAAACTTTATGTTTGTTATTAAGCTTTTACCGTGATTATTTTTGACGAGTTATTGTTAATAATCTCTACGTTAATATTATTTATTAATTTATAGTATTATCTCTATTGTTAATAATCTCTCTATAATAAAAATACGATTAAAATGATGGGCCAGTACTAGATCATATAATAGGCAAACATGTAGTGATTTATGTACTTGGCCTCAATAATCTGATGTCAATACTTTTTATTAGAGGAATACACAGCACTCCTGTATTTGGCGTAGTTTTTTACACGTACGTGTTTTTTGGGGGATACTGCTTTACCAGAGGGTTGATTAGTAACTGTCGATGATTGATGTCGATGTTCGTAAGGAAGACTTTGAATTTGGAGGTGGAGGGAAGCCCAACTGAACAGATCATTAAATGTTTGAAAAGTTCAGATGAAGATTGCTTACAATATCGTTGAATGTCTGATGGAAGATCGCTCGGGACACCAAAATTTGCATTTGTGTCCAATTGGGTCTGTACATCTGAGCATCACTCAGGTTTGCGAAGGGAAAAGTATGGTAACTTTTTACGAATGCTAGGAGCTTCTTTCTTCGGCTCATCTATTCACCTCGACGTGATCAGTCATACTGAACTTTTGTTATTTATTACATATTTATAAACAGATTAGCAACAACGTTTCCAAGAACGTAGGAAGCTGATTAGTAGATTTGCTCCAAAAGTAAATGAAAAAAAGCACATTGGATTAAAATTAGAACATATTATTCAAACACTTCAAATAGAGTCATTTGAATAGAAAAATATTCGAGAAAAATAATTGGTTATTATTAAAAACCGCCCGAAACATAATCTCATTTGTTTACTTGTAAATAGCGGCGCTGCGGTTGCATATACATATGGCGACATATCAGGAAATTCAATTTTTAGAACATCAAAAGACGAAGAAAATTCTTAAATTTGCATACTATGTGACTATTAGGGCAAAAGTTACACCCGGTTTACAAAAAAAAAAAGTTGATTTAAAAAAAAATCGAGCAACAAATGGTCGTCAAAAATTGAAATTGCAAGAAATAAATTTTTTGAAGCGTGAAATCTTATCTTTTGAATAAGTGCCTGGAAAAACCAGCGGCTTTTTAAATACAAATTGACATAGTCAAACTGAATTTAGCAACTAAAGCGGATTTTTTGTTTTCGCCTAAATCGCGCATTTTTGAGGTTTTCTTTTTTCGGTTCGGCTAAACTATTAGAGATAAAAAAAAATGCCGCAACTGACTTCGTTACAGGAGATTTTGTACGATATAAGATTAGTTCTACATATTTTTGCCCTAACTGTCAGCGTGTTGGAAGCGCAAGCGTGGAAAGTGTCAAAAATTGGAAAGACTAGTGTGCTTTTAACGTTTTTATTTTTTTATTTTTTTGCAAAAACAAGCGATTCTACAATCCCAATTGAGGTCCTTAGTATGTACGTCGTCGCGAACAGTTTCCACATTTTTTTCATCATGTGATTATTTATTGAAGTTTCAGGTCTTTTTTTGTGTTCCAATTTAACTGGCCTACAGTGAAAAAAAAGATGATGGTACTCTAAACTATATAGCAGGGTAAAAATATGAATTTGTTAACCCAACTATCTTAACATACTTGTGTTTATTATTGCGATTGGTAGATATAATTGTAGTAACAAATCCTAACTTCATAGTAAATTTTTTTTTACTAACATCAAAAAGTCGAATTTACTTGCAACAATTACAACCTACTATGGACATTAGTTATAGTTAGCCACGGATGCCAAGGGTACATATTGTATCATATTTATGTGGAATCGAGACAAAAGTCTTACTTTGAAATGCCTTTAATAAGGGTGCATATGGGTAAAACAAGTGTCAAAACGTGCATACTGGGGGCCGTAAATTTAAGGATTAGGATATATACAAGAGTCGGTCGAATGAGTACTTGATTGTCGCGACGGCTCAGGTGGCCCGGCTTTAGTAAAATCCCAAGGAAAAAGAAAGAATGGAAGTATGGATGGATGAAAAACAGATGTGAGTGATTTTGGGTACGACTTTGTATTAGAAGATAGGCTAGAGTTAATATAACTGTCGAACAGTGCGGACGTGTCCGTAATCTTTAGTTCTGCTTTTGTATCCCTTTGTAACAAAACATCTTCACTCTCATTAAAATCGTTCGTCACCACTTCCATTACGATCCTTTCTTTTCAACTCATCCCAATGTTATTATTAATATTCGTAGAGTAATATTCTTGATTCTGCATTTATCGTACAAAAAACCATATACATGCTAGTCATTTTCACTCAATAAGAACAGTTAATATGACTTTTACCAATGAGCTGCTGGCAAAATATTACATATTTCAATAGCTACTTGTTTGACAAGTTGCGAAAGTGGGCAATTTTCGAAGAGTGTGAAGTTCACACTCACCGTCATCACAGGTTCCGTAATTGCCTGCTTCGCAACATGTCTAATACAATATTTTTTTATAGCAAGTCTGGCGTGTCCGATTTTCGGCGTTTACGAAGAGATCGCGGGCCGAGGCGGATAATTTGATGAAAGTAGAAATGGTGATTAAAGTTATACTTGCATTGGTGGTGGCGAATTCTAACACTTAAGAAATGTGATAAAAAGTTGAAATATTCATTGTTCATCATATTTTAACTTGTTTGTTTATAAAATTTACAAATATTAGTTGAAATAGGAGTGTTTCGAATTCAATTTTCACCAAATTGGGTGGGAATAGCTAAGTTACAAGGAAATTAAGAAAATTTGTGTTGCATATTGATAGTAAAGCTTACTTATTACATGTAATTTAATAATACATTTGGTATTTTAGAGAAATACAGAAAACTTGAAGCTAAGTCTTTAGTTTAGCATAGAATTAAATAAACTTTCAATTTTGGTTGATACGAAGAAAGGATTTTTACATTTTGTTCATTTTCACTTAAGATTATCACTTAAATAACTGTAATTACATTTTAATCTTTAGTTAAGAGTGTAATTATAACTATTTTTGGTATTTGTTAATACAAATCGAGGTTTTTATCACTTTGTCTCATTTTCACTTTCAGTATTTTTTTGTGTGATCACCACTGTTCATATTAATAGTGATGTTACAATTTGTCATATTGAAAATAGCTGAACCTATTTTTTGTTCAGACAGTTTCTGCAACATTGATAAATTTACATTTGTCGTCGTTGTGGTCTCTTTGGTTTCCACAACATCAGAATTGACAATTAAAACTTGTCCCTTTTCTGGAATTTCCTTTTTTTTTCAGGAATGTCGCTTATCACTGTTGAAGTCACATCTTCTGGAACGATTTTGGAAGTAGCCAATGTTGTTTTTGGTTTTCTCACGATCCCATGTCCTTCTGAAATGGATGGGAATGCAGAACTCGAAGGTTCCAAATTTATGGCGTTGGAAATCATATTTCCAATTTTCCTTTTATTGTTCATAAATTCTTGTATGTATCCTGAAAACAGATAAGAACTTAGTGAAGTTATACAGATTGCAAAAGTGTAATTTGTAAATTACCTTGAGCGACTGTGTCCGATTTCCACATTCCGTGTCTTTTCAAAAATGCCATATTTGCTCCCTTGCCAACCAAGATTGTGGTGGACGTTCTACGAAAACTATGGCCGGTGTACCCATTAGGATCTTTAAATCTCAGAAAAATTGCAATTTGTTTCAGAGTTTTGCAAAATTTATTGGTACCAATGACTTGAGTGGTACATTTGCCGTTCTGGTAGTTCAGGAAATATCTTTCTGTTGTCGCATTTGTGGGTCTGAATTTCTTGTATTTCCGCACAATGTCAGCTAAATCTCTCTTCATTGTGAACGTTTTTGATTCATGTGTTTTGGTATTAGGAATTTTAACAATTATCACTTGGTCAGCGTGAGTAACGTTCGTCTTCTTCATATTGACAAGTTCGTCATTTCGTGTTGTTCGATGGATGCCAAATATTGCAATTACCTAAAAACAGTCTCTTTTTTTAAAGAATATATACTAATTGTTGGTATTTGTGGATTTTATGTTTGTTATAGATTTTTTATATTTGTTTCTTGTATTGTTATGTTTTGTTTAGATTTTTTAATGTATTTTTGTTTATTTTTACCTTTGCTGCGACATATTGTTCGTCTGGTGCTCCTTCAAAGATTCTTTTGAGATCTCCTGGGGAGAAAACCAAAGATTTCTTGCTTTGAAATCCGACTGATTGTTTTTTCAAAAAGGCATTCAGTTTGGCATACTTCGCAATGTTGACATTGCGCTGATTCTAAATCATAGAACGAAGCATGGAGTAATGACTTCATAAGGTCGAGGGTTTGTATTTCTCCGACAACTCGCTAAAATATGCTAATAGCACATTTTCGGAAACAGAATTAGCATTGTTCAATGTTTGTCATTTATGGAAGTTTACGAACGACTGTTCTTTCTCTGGATTTCTGGGGTAATAAGTTCAACTGAAATTCTTTCGCCAAATCCATGATTTTGAGCAGGGTGCCAAGCACATTCCCATTTTCGTCCTTCGCTTAATTTTCTTCAAAATCCATTCCATTCCTTTTTGTGGAATTCCTAACAAATCACCACTTTTGATATGCAAATATAACGATGACAGATCGTGATAATGGACACTTGACTCGGCACAGACACGCACAAAGCAACGCAAAGCTAGCAAATTTACAGAGTGTCAGTCGTACCACCCGATGAAATGCTATAAAAGGAGAGAAGGTTCCGAAATAGGAAGAAAGAAATACCTCGGGCTACTTTCACAACTCCAGCCTATGCGCTGTGCTATGAAAAATAATTTCTTCTTCTACATACATTAAATCTCAATACGAAATATAGACCGAATGTAGGAATCATTGGGACTCGCTATACATACCCACTGAATGGTTATGGGCCAATTACATTGCACCAACGTAACGGCGATGTAACCGAATATAACAAGTAATGTTATCGGGATCTTAAATATCATATAGAGAATATATAAAAACGCGCATGTGCACGACGAATATGTAAGGACCCGTAGGTCCGGTGGCCAGTCCGGTGTACTCCGGCCGAGAGAAAGGAATAAAAGAGTTGGAATCCAAATCTTGTGTTTACTTATTGAGATATACTACATAATGTGACCTATTTCTGGATATAACGTTAACCCAGGGCATGAGTCAGTCGCAAAAACATCAATCTCGAACTGGAGAGGTAAGCAGAAAAAGGAAACGCGGGGTATAATGCAAGAGAATATAGTTAATAGAAAATAATACTGGAAATAAATAGAGAAGAAAATAAACCAAAGGTAACAGAATTCCAAAAACAATACACTATAAACCCGGAATACTAAACTGGACTAGACAGAATCAAAACAATAACACTAAAGGGGCTCGCGTGGGAGCACCCAGTGTCTCAACGGGACTTTAAACTGGTCGGAGGAAAGGGGAGTTAGGGAAAGATGGTCTGATAGACAAGGGGGCAGGACGGATGGGATGGGCTTACCGACTCTAGATAATTCGTCAAACAATAATTTAGGCGCGAGCTACTGTCACGGTGTAGCACCGTCGAGTGATCTACGAAGGTCCTCGAATGTTTATTTGACTCCATTTGGTGGCACGGCTAGCAGAGGGGCGGAAGGGAGGGGGCATCTCAGGGAGAAGATCCCCGAATGCAACGGCTTCTTAGTAATTACCTCGGATCTTACACTATTAACAAAAGCGAACGGGGGAAGCAAAATATTAACTCTAATACACGTACACACGCAATACACTACTCGATCTCGCGTTAATAGCACAAGGCTGGTCTCAAATTTGAAAGTACTAACGATAGTGCCGGTCCTCGTGGGACGGCTCGCAAAGTCCAGAAGGGAACTCTTACTCAAAAAGGGCATAAAAGAAAAGGGTATCGAAAAGGCCAAAAAGGGAACTCCTTCAAAATACAAGAGTACTCACTCAAACAGCTCGCACAATAATCCTTATGTGCACACCCGGGTACTCGTGTGTCCACCGCGGTGCATTTGTGTAATTAAAATAAAGAAAAAATAAAAATTTTCCAATGAGCTTCTGTATTGTTGTTCTTTAGCTCAATAGCAAGCAAATTGTAAATTAGATTTATTTTTTTTTAATGAAAAAATTCAACTAAACTTAAGCCATTGCCCTTTACGCACCCGGGGTACCCGGGTACCCACTATATGTATTCATACTTTGTACATAAATGATATTTTTTTATGATGCATGCAGGTAAATTATTATTTTAAATATAAAAGAATACAACAATAATGTTTATAAAATATTATTATTTATGACAATTATTACATTGACACTCGGTGTAGCTTTTGCGTGTACTGACTCACATTCGTTACTAATACATATGCTACCAGAACAAGAAGAATGATCTTCGCATTGTTTTCGGCTATTCAAACAGCTGTTCTCTTCCAAACAATACAGTTGATGTACGCTACCTGGATCGACCCTAATCTAAAATATCCAAATTTGGAATATAACAGTAATAGTTTAAGAGCTGACGACAGACTTCACTAAGCGTTTTCAGCACGGCCACATTTTCATTAGGCGCTAGGTACGGGGTTGGTATTGTGAAAAACGTGAGTCTGGCAGCCCAGCCCCGCTGCGTTTGAACACCTGGTCCAGGTAAAGAAACGCGATTTTCAAGTAATTTCAGCACGGTCAATTCCAACTTAGATCTGATCTGCTATTCTGTGACATCATTAGTTTAAACAGCCAGACGTGTATCTCGTGTATAATATGGCGTAAGACTGGGTTATACTCATTTAAAATATATGTATTGTTACGTCTCAGCCCTCCAATATACGATATTAGTTAACCCATACATATACACAGCCACTTATACCCATGGCCAACCATATTATTATTGTTATACCCTAACCTATACAGACATTATACACACACATATGTCGATTAATCGTTTGATATAATTAATTTTATTGATTTATACTTATAAGTTTATACTTTTGTCTTGTTTTATATTCCGTTATATTATTGGAATCTTTAATTACGTTATCACTTATTTGACCGGAAAATGTTACGCTTATTATTTCTATCAGGTATTACGTTCTTAAGGAATTTGTCATACTAATCCTTTATTATGTCTTGGAATAAAAGATAAACCTGAAGCTCCTCGAGACTAGCAGTACTCGCGAGGTTTCAGGTACAGAATTGGAAGACTCAGGTATGCAACAACAGACAGATAATTGTTAGTACTCTGATTTGTTAAATGATCATTGAGAAAGGGAATTAAAGACCAATCAGATTCATGAGAAGTAATGGAAGGGATAAGAATCAAAGTCATTAAAAGGGGTTGAAGAGCCCAAAAAGTCAGAGTTCGAGTGCCAGTCAGAGTTCCAGTTAGAGTTCTAGCTCCTGTTCTGAGGTAGAAGTGTGAAGTTGTGAAGTACATCAGAAGTCTTGTAAAAGAAGTGCAAAGTAAAAGTCAAAGTTAGAGTCGAAGTCTAGAGTTCTAGGAACTTATATTCTCTTCAATTCAGTTCTTCGAAATTCATACAGAAGT